CCCAAGAGGAGAAACCCTAGCTAGAGCAAAGTTTAATTAACGGATGAATCAGAAAAATAGGGTTCTTGAAAAAATAAAAATTAGGGTTTCTTCGTGCAAACAGCATCGGGTGAAGCTCCCACATGATCCAATCTTTCCTTAAACAATTGTAGGAAAATTTAGATCATGCTGGCAGCTTCAACAGATACTGTAGCATGTTGAATCTTACCACCACACACACCAAAAAAATAAAAAAAATAAAAAAAATTAATTCTTTTTTCAAGAATTGCAAAAGGGTTTGTTTTCTTTCTTTCTTTTTTTGCTGTAGTGAAGGAGAGTGGGAATATATGTGGTATAAATAGAGGTGTAGAAGAAGAAGAGAAGAAGATGAAATTAAATGGGAATTAAAATGTATTTTAGTGGATAAAAAGATAAGAGAATAGGTGAAGGAAAAGCTATGGAAAGCCATATAGTAATAACAACAAAAAATATTAAATGGTCCCCCTTTTAATTTATATATATGTAAATTGAATATTGTCACGCCACCGCCTCCACCATGCAGATTTTAATTACACCTAATTACGGTATACTGCTTGTGGGTTATTGCACGAGAGTCGAGTTTATCCAATATCGAGAAAAATAAAATTTAGAGAGGTGTATAAGTGAGAAAGTTTCTATATTTTTGTTGGAGAGTTATTTAACTTTAGGGTTGGAATTAGTTATGTGTGATTTTGTTTTCATTTTGATATAATCTCGAGAAATATTTGAGTTTAATCATTTTGATGTATGTTTACCTTATTGATACAATTCTTTTTTTTTTAATGAAAGAACCTGCAGACAATAATATATATGCACTGATCGATGTATGTATTGAATTAAGGGTACATTTATAGAGCCATCTTCACGAAAAATGAATTAAATTATTGTCGGTATATGCAACAAATAATTGTGTGATGCGCATACACGTACGTAATACACGTAACAAATTATGCGGCGTCAATTAAATAGAAAAACTCGAATATTTTGGATCCAAGGAGGTCCGTCGGATCGAGCGTTGCGTAGATTATTTACGAGCGTTGATTGTGTGTGTGTGTGTGAGTGAGTGGCATAAGTGAGAAGGCATCTTACAAGAGGGGGGGGCAAGACAAATGTATGTAGGAAACTAGTAGCAAGAGGGGACCATAGTTTTACATGGCTTAATTTGTTTGTTGGCTATGAATTGCAATATTTCACATGGAAGAGGAAATTTTGAAAGAGCAATTTCATCAAACCCTACAATATTATATATGTATGAGATTCCCCCCTTTTGTTAGGATCGAGTACTAGCAGCAGTAGTGCAAGAATTTCAACTCTAACGAAGATTGGTTTATTATGAGCACCAAGCTCAGATCCGCTACTCTAACAAACCATTGACTCACCATAATTTACGTTTTTCTAGATCAAAACTTGTTGAGTCAAGGGATGGCGAAATATTTCGTCTTTTGATGCAAGAATTATTTTTCAATATATCTATTTGTTTAAAATATAATGAATAATAGTGATGTGCAATTAAG